GCTTATGTCCCTGGCTCCAAGGTTTGTTCCCATAGAATCTGAGAGTCTGATGGCACCCCCCATGACCCGCTTACCTTGATAGATGTAACTACTTCCATCAGAGAAATATGATGGAATTCTGGGTAGCAGCTCATGCATCAAATCTGGTTTGAAGTCCTGTGAGGTGATCAATGACCTCAATATAATTGTGAAGAGGCAAGTAGGGGTCATCATCAGGCAGCAGGGCAGCATGATTTAAGGCTGCTCTTTCCTTAAAACTGATAATAGTTGGATCCAGGAGCAGTGCCTGATAGTGCATAACTCAGGTGTTAGACAGCAGTCAATCTGGCGGAGCCTTAATAAGTTTCCAGTGAATGAGAGGAGACAATTAAGCATTTTGTCCAAATGTCAACTTTTGGGCCTCTCTCACGAGGAGAGCCACTGAGGCAATCACCTGCAAGCAAGGCAGCTACCTGACTGCCACAGTTTCAAATCTCTTTAAAAGATAGGCAAAAGGCCTTTGCCATAGTCCTAAACTCTGGGTCAGTATTCCTTTTTCTATTCCTCATTTTTCATCAACTTAGAGGGAAAATGGTTTTTGCAAATTTGGCAGAGCCAGAGCTGGAGCTTCTGTTAAGGCTGATTTCAGTTGCCTAAAGGCCTGGTCTTGTAATTCTGACCACTCTAGAGGGTCTTGAGTGGCTCCTCTCTATGAGTCATAAAGTGACTGGGTTATTGCAGCAAAGCTCATAATCCAAAGCCTAAAATAACATATGGCTCCCAAAAATTCTCATACCTGATTCTTAGTTACAGGGATTCGGATCTGCCAGACAGCTTGTATCCACTGAGAGAAAAGAGTCCACTTTCCTTCATGGATTTGGTAACCTAAGTAGGTTACGTGCTTTTGGCATAGCTGAGCCTTTTTAGCTGAGATCTTATAGCCCAACCTGTCTAGAGTCCTTAAGGTGTCACTTAGGTGTCACTTGCACAACTTTCATATGAATCTGTTGCCACCAGAATGTCATATCTGGGTAGTCTCTCTGAAACCCAAAAGGTCTCTGGCCAAAGCCTCATCAAAAAGAGTGGGCACCTTTTTAAAACCTTGTGGTATGCATGTTCAAGTCAATTGTTCTGATGTTCCTGTAGTGGGGTCAGTCAATTGAAAGGCAAAGGTATGTTGACTTACTAGAGCAATGGGGAGAGTGAAGAAGGCATCTTTCAAATCCAGTACTGAGTACCAGATCTCTCAGGGCTCAAGAGGCTCAATAAAGTATAGGGGTTAGGTACAGTAGGATGGAGAGTTACAACTCTTTTGTTTACTTCCCTGAGATCTTGCACCAGCCAGTAATCCTAGGTGCCCAGCTTCTGAACAGGCTGCAAGGGGGTATTCCAGGGAGAGACACAAGATTTTAATATACCATGTTCTTTTAACCTTAGTATATGTCTGGCTATGCCTTGTAGTGCATTCAGACTCAGGATATTGCTTGAGCCGAATAGGAAGTGCTTGAGGTATAAGCTCAGTCACCAAAGGGATTTGGTTCACTGCCAGACTGGAAGGATTATTCTGTCCAAACCCCAGGGATTTTCTGTGTCCAGCAGTGCAATAGCTCATTGTCATTTAAACCTTTAGGATTTTACAATAATAAATGTTCTATACCCTCAGGATATAGGGCAAGGACCTTGGCGCCAAGGAATTCAGTTGGGCCATTGGCCATTTGCATTGTTGGTGTGGCTGTTTCAAAACTGAGATGAACTTTTAGTTTACACAAGAGGTCTCAGCTTAGAAAGGGATCTAGGCATTCTGGGATGCAGAAGAATTCATGAGAGATAGTCTTTTGTCCTGGTTGGGCTATCTGAGCTTGAAACTTCGGATATATCTTTGTGGTGCCAGTGGCTCCTAATACTTTTAATTTCTTTCCTGTAGTGGTTCCTATGAGCCAAGTCAGAACTGAATGAGCAGCTCTGGAGTCCACTAAGAAATCAATTGATTGGCCTGCACAGTTAGAGTTAGCCTGGGCTGGGGGGGGGCATGAGAGCCCTGACTTCCCTAATCACGGGACAATAGAGCCTTGGTTTCCATTTCCAGTTTGGCCTTCAGCTTGGGGCAATGCTTTCACCAGTGTCCCATCTCCTTACAGTAGGCACATTGATTTTTTATCTATAGGTGGGTAACACTTTGCATTTGTTTTGGTAACTCTCTCAGTCAATACTTCTAATACCTTTGTCAATTTTTGATGTTTGGGATCTTCACGGTTGTTGATTACCTTCTGAGCTATTTCTGATCTGTCTAAGAGGCATTCCCTCAAATCCCTCAAGCCTTTGCAATTTTCATTTAATGTTTGGGCCAACTGAGTTACAAGGCAATATTAATGGCTCTTGCATTTTCAGGTGCCACTGAATCTATAGGGGTATAAATGCAATAGGCCTTCTGTAGCCTTTCCAGAAACCCCGAGGGAGACTCATTAGCCAATTGCCTTACCTCTGAGACCTTGGACAAATTGGTGGGTTTTCTGGCAGTGCCTTTAAGGGCTTCTAGAAACAACTGGTGATACTAAACAAGAGCCTCCTTACCTTCAGTGTGTTAGGATTCCAATCAGGTCGGGACAAAGGAAAATCATGGTTCAGGCATTCAGGATCAGAGGATGAGTTCCCATCAGGATCACACACCACTTTTCATCTTAACGTGTGGATGCGTTCTCTTTCCTGCACCATCAACAACACTGCAAAATCTGCTAACAATCATCCCAAGGGGGATGATGGGTGGAAAAGACTGATTCTAAAAGAGAAATAATACCTTGAGGATCCTTAGAAAAAGGTTTTATTTTTGTTTTGTTTTGTTTTGTGTTTTTGTTTCCATTGGTAAAGTTTAGAAGTAGAAAATGGGACATAGGTAAATACTGGGCTGAGGGATCTTCACATTTAGGGATCTCATGAAGAGGAAGAAGGGTGGGAGTTGAGGTGGAGGAATTAGGGGATTCCAAATGCTAATAACTTCTGGTTTGGATAGGGCTAGGAAGGTGAGAAGGGGGTACTGGTTCAGGAGGAGCAGGAATTGGTGCCAAGGGTCAGTAAGGCCATGGCAGAGGTCCTTCCTCCTTGCTTGGAAGAGTCATTCACAAGTCAGGCTCAGGTTTTGGTTTCATTTTCATAGGTGCCAGGAGACAGTGGTTTCCAAATTGAAGCTCAGATGCCTTGAGAAACTTTTTAAGCCAAGAAGGAGGATCACAAATGAGATCATTCCAAATTTGAATATACACAATTTGGTCAGGGTGGGTTGGGGATCCAAAGACATATTGTCGGATGGCATGAGCAGTGCAGAAATTAAAACTACCTGCTGAGGGCCAGTTGGGAACCACAGCAGGCCATTCAAGCTCACAGAAATTTCAGAGCTTCCCAGAATTTTGTGGTTCTACATATGTCCATGCTTGATCCTTGAAATCTCTGAAATGATTATGAACCAAAGTAAGGGGAGACAAAGGCTCTGATGATGATGCCTGACCCATAGTTATCAATAACTGGTCAATGACAATAACACAACACAAGGCACCAGAGAAGACAAGAAAAACGCAAACACACACACACAAAGACTTGTTGATTCACAGTTGTCTGGCAACCTATAGCAAAATAATTTTCATTATAACCCTGAAGCCAAGAAACCACATGGGTGCAACATTAGTTTAAGAGAAATAAAAGAAACCTGAATGTTAGTACTGAGGTAATAGATTCAAACAGGCAAATGGCTCCACAGTGTAAATATACCAAGAACAAAACCAATTAGGCCAAATTCCCGAATCACTAATGTGCTAGAAACCTTTTCTTGGAGGGTGTCCCACTCCAGGGCAGAAGGAGCACCAGGCTCATCTGCAACTCCAAACATGTGCACTTAAATTACAAATAAAAAAGATCCAAATACTTACAGATGTTTGAAGCCAATCATTTGGTGAAACATAATGTGGGGAGTGAGTCCCCATTCAATCCAGCATGAGCCCCCAAATGTTGTACCCCAAAAATGAGCCCTGAAATGTTGTCCAAAAAACAGGGCAAGACATCTTTTAAAAAGAAAAAGAGTGCTTTTATTTAAACTGACACCAGCAACACAGTGCAGATTGAGTTTGTAAAGCTGTGTAACTGGGTTAAAATTTGGACAGACTTTTATAGCCCATTAACTGCAAAGTACATAGTGAGCAGGAATGAGGAAGGCCTTTGTTCCCCTTTGCTTGAGGTCAGAGATGTTTCATAGCCATCTTTCTTCCTTAAAAGAATTCATTTCTTCCTTAAAAGAATTCACAGCACTTGGTCTGCTAATTCCATGAACATTTGTCTCTCACAAAGGGAATAAAGGTTGACACAGCAACATTTGTCTCTCACAAAAAGAACAAAGGTTGACAAACCAACATTAGTCTCTAACAAAGGGAGCATAGGTTGACAATGCAAACAGGTTATTAGGGTGACAATGCAAACAGAACAGTGTGGCAGCACTTCAGTTAATTTATAATAATGGAGTGGGTACCTGAGTGTGGCTGGCTGCAGAAAACAGCTGTGTTTTTAAAGATAGTTACACGGTTACTACAGTGATAAGTATACCACAGGATGGCAAAGCTCTTTTTGCTAATGCATGACAGAGTAGAGCAGAGAAGAGCAGAGCTGCATGTGCCAGGTTTATAGGTGATGATCAGGACATCTGTGTGTGTTCTTAGAGTTAGGAAGCTAACTCTAAGGAGAAATAGCACATGTGTGTGGTGAACCTGCACCAATCGGTACCCAGTTCAAGTCCGGGAGGCTGAGACCCAGGGAGCCCAACTCTCTTTCCCATTTTTTCCACAGTGCTCTGGATATGAGAACCACCAAAACATACAGACTGATATCCTGCTGCAACTTAGATTCGGCTAGAGTCTGACATCGATTTTCACTCAGCATCAGACATACTGACAGAAAATCATCTCTTCCCACCTCCTCTGATGAAGGGAAAGGGTTGATTTTTTTCTCCTGTGTGTGGGGGGTGTGGGAGGAGCATGGCTCACCTCACTAGTTGGCTGGTTCTTCTTCTCTCATGGGCTTCATACCATGACTGAGAGATTGCTCCAAGTTTCTCAGTGCTACCTTTGGAACAGAGAAACACAATAAGTTTTTCCATGGGGAGAAATCTAAGTGGAATCTTGAGTTGTTTTCTGGTGGAACAGAGCAACTTCCTTCCTGGGTGTAGGTGTTCTGGGGTGTCTAATCCAGCCTCAGAGCCAGGTTTCCTTTATGGTGGGTGGGTGGGGGAGGGAGCAGGGGGGGAATTAACGGGTTTGGGGGCTCCCCTAAGCCACTGACTGGCTTATCTCACCAGTCGATAATTCTCCCCCTCTGCTAGACCTAAACCTAATGCCCAAGGACCATGCCGTCGCCCTAACCCATTGCTCTCCAAATCCTCAAAAAAACATTCTGGCTCCAGACATGCCACTATAAATGATTTAGGTAGAATCTGATATTCATCAGTCATGGGCTCATCAGAACTAAGTGTCTGCAGCCCTCCATGGGAGGGTGGTAGCATAAGGGTCACACTAGGCTGTGCTGCAGCCGTTCTAGTGGTCAGTCCCTCTAGGAAGTACTGGCACTATTCCCTCCTGAACCTCAGTGGAGGATCTGATATCAGGCTGCTCAGTAACCCCAATCCCCTTCCAGTGTTGGTCCTCCTGTGGGGTAGGTAGTGGGCACAATGCAGACCCTTATATGAGCCTGAAGGGTCTATGCAGAGCCCAGGCTGAAGGTAAGGGTAGGGGGAAAAACCATCATTGGAGGCGCCATGGAGGGAGGGAAGCCCGACAGCAGGGATTCATTCCAGTGGCTGTGCCTCCTTTCCAGAGGGACCTTGGCAAGTGCTGGGAGACACCAGATGCTGACCCAGACCTATACACACACAACCCTGAGTTCCCCTACATACATCCAAAACAGAGACTACAGACAGCACTTTCCACTACCTCTTTCGTGTCCATGTTCATCATCAGACACAGCCACCACCGCAGGTGTCCTGACTTGGGACACCTGCTCTGGCACCCTTGGCAGCAGGCATAAGGGTGGTTACCTCCTCACCCGTCAGACAGACAGACAAGCAGATGGGGATGGGGCTGTAGGTTTCTCAAAGACCTGGCCCCAGGAAAAATTGCCTGTCTGTAAGTAGGTACAGTTCTTCATTCTGCACTTGCCACAGACAGGTGAACAAGTCCATCTGTCTGTGTGTGTGCCTCCCGTGCATGCCATCTGGTGCTCCCTGATGGTCTCCTTCCTTAGTTATGGCTTTACAGATCTCCTGAAACTTTGGCCTCTTCAGTGAGCAGGGCCCGGTTGGGGCAAGGCGTCCCCCTCTCACACACACATGGGCTCTCCCAGGAACAGGCAGGGATACATATATATAGCCAAGAGAGAGCACCTCAGAGTGGTGTCCAGCAGCAGCCACCAGAGTTTGGAATGGAGTTTAGTGGCCTCCAGACTCCAAACGAAGCCTCAGCCCAACACAGGAAGCCCTGCATAATAGAGATATACCCCTCAATCTGAGCCAACAGATGATCTCTTCCTGCACTGATGGAATGCCACACCATGTGGTCACCTGCGAGAGAGAAATAGCCCTCACTACCATTTCATTGGTTTCCCTGTCTGCCACTCTTCTACCCAAATGAGACAGTGTCACCTGGTGGGTAAAGGGGACATTCACATCCCAAGAGGCACTTCCAGGGTTCAGGTGCTCTGACAACCCCAAGGAGAGCTTCCATGCCTTCCAACTTCTAGGGGCAAGAAGATAGCTACAGAAGGCAGCCCCTGCAGTGCAAGGAGGGCTGTGCTGTGCTGTGCTGTGCTGTGCTGTGCTGTGCTGTGCTGTATAGCCAGGCATGTCAGGCCAGGGCTGCTGGGCACTCTGGCTCCTCTTTGCAGGGCAGTGGTTAGCATCTCAGAGAACAAGTTGATTCTTATGGTATCATGAGTCATGAGAACCAGAGGAAACGTGGTGTGATCCTTGGATAAGATGGCATTCTGCACAGCTAATTCCATCCTCTTATGGGAGGAAAGAGAGATGGGGAGAAAACACTAGGCACTCATGTGAGTCCACAGGCAGCCCTAGGAAAATGCTGGCCCCAGAAAAGCTGGTGTGAGAGCACCTTCCCTCACTTCCACAAACTAAAGCCCTAATGCTGAGCCTAACCCTAAGCCTAGGCCTAAGCCTATGCCTAGCACTCCAAAGGGGGTGCCATCCTGACTCCCGTGCAGCCAATGATGCGACAGGTCCATCCTAGAATGAATGTGTCATGTGCCGTGTCTGTGATGTCTTTCTCTGCCTCTCTCTGTCTCCATCAAGTTCTGGATCTTTGGCTAGTGCTGGATTTCGAGCTGAGCCCTCTGGTGCCCAGAGGAAGGAATAGCCAATGGCATCAGAGTGAACTGGAAAGTGACAGAGTCTTTTAAAGAGAGAATCACAAAAGATATACAGTTCGAAACACTTTGACTTGAATCCTTCATTCATTTTCTATTGACTGACACCTGTATCCTCCTCCTTTTGTTGAGCAGGTTTTCACTTTTCTCATTCTGCTTTTCTCATGGGACTTGTACAGTAAGTCATTTTCTATTTTCCTGCATCAAATCCAGGGCACTAGTAAAATGAAGTGCTGGGCACAAGATAGACACTGTCACTTATGCCAAGCTACAACATGGGCCAGAGAGCAAAAAAGTGGCAAAGGGACTTAAGTGGGTTTGTGACTGACAGACACACAGAGGAATCCCAACAGCCGGATGGATGCATTCACAGTCCAGTGAGCTGAGCTGCACGGAGCTGAGCTGGGAGGAGCATGGCTGGGTGACCACTATTCTCTTATTTCAAAATCTCTGAAAGTGGCTGGCCAGCCCCGAGCCAGGAAAAGAAAAAAAAAATCACAAAGACTTTGAACACACAGTGAACCACCAAATGGAAAGATGTCCCACTAGGAAAGTTTTAGCTAGAGTCTGACACTGATTTGTGTGTGTGTGTTTTAATGTAAAGTGGGAGAACTGGGTGTGTGTGAGTGTTATAGTGTGAAGTTGGGGAATGGAGCCTGGGTGTGTTTCTAGGGTGAGACTGAGGAAGAGGGCATGTGTGAATTTTTAGAGTGAGTCTGGAGACTAAGACATGTGTGTGTCTCTTAGTGTGAAGTTGGGGGACGGGACATGTGTGTGTGTGTTTAGGGCGAGTTTGGGGAAGCAGGACACGTGTGTGTCTTTAAGGTGAGCCCAGACCCCTGTGTCATCTCGACACCATGGACTGTCACTTGGCGCACTGAAATGTGACCCTGAACACTAAAACCCTAATTTTCCCTAACCGTAAGCCTAACCCTAACTCTAACCTGCCTCAGGCAACTCCCTTGAGCCTAAGGAACACCCTAGTTCCACTCTACCCCACTTCTCTCTCTCCCCCTCCTTCTCTCTCTCTCTCTCTCTCTCTCTCTCTGTCTGTCTTTCTGGGTGTGTGTATTACAAATGACTATGACTCTGTGGGATTCAGTCTGCGTACATCCTTGTTATGCTGGGGTTCGTGCATCTTGAGAACTGCTTTTAAAATTGTAAAGACATGGCAGGAGGGCATACTGGTGATTTCTTAGGTTCTCTTGCTTCCTGATCCTTCCACCATATTTCACTTTTATTCTTCTCTCCTCTCTGTAACAAATGATAGAATTCCTCATGTTTTATATCCCATTATTAAGCAGAAGATACTTCAAATAAATTAAATCACTGCTGCCTCAGGGCTTGCTTCTGAGACTTCTTATGGTGTTCCAGCCATAGGCGTCTGAGAACCTTAGCTATTGGCTGATACTAATATTAAATTCCAGGGGTCCAATCTAGTTGTCCACTTTGGACAAACACATGGTTAAAATATGTCTAAGGATGAATTCAACCAGAGCTGAGATCCACAGCCAAATTTATTGGAAGAAAAAGAAAAAAACATTCAGTGTGCAGTTTGATTCATTGCCTGTCTCTATCCTTAGCAGTTTCTCCTGACATCATTAACATGTAATTTTAACAAAAAGCATGCAATAGAAATAAATGATACTGAACTGCTGACTTATGAGGTAGAACTTTTGTTGTTTGTCTCTGTAAGGGCAACTTCTTGTCTGTCATTTTTTTCCTTGACTGTTAATTTTGAATTTCTTTCCCTTTTATCTCTTTCTCTATCTTTACCAAAAGCATGAAATGGACCATTTTCTGGCTATTACTTCGTTCATGTGAAATCTATGGTTAGATGACAGCTACTCATTCTTCTCATGTGCCACAGTTAGGGAGGTAGGAGTCGATGGTAGAGAAGAATCTTAATCCCAGATAAACTTCCGGGAACCTGTGTGTCCATGAGAGTATGGGGCAGAATAAAGGCCCCAATTGCATTTCACAAAAGTGGAAGGCCAACTTTGCTCTCTGTGTTCTGTTATCCACTCAGAAATTTTTTTTTGAGCACTCTTATTTTTGTAAAAAATCCAGTCAAATTTAGCATGGCTATAATACTGTAAAAATACCTCCTTCTACACTTGTGCATGTCCTAATATGAGCACAGCCTCTGAATTTTTTTCTGTGAATGGTCTTCTAGATAGCAGGTATGTATTTCAATCATAATTTCCTATGATTAATGGAAATTTCTTTTATATGTTCCAGGCCTATAAAGTATCACTTTACTGAAGTATCCCAATACTCATTTTAAAAATGTTGGATATTGAAGGTGCAATTAACTTTCTGTTCTTGTGACAACTAAATGTCCAATATTTTTAAATACACATGTCCTCTATAAGTGTAGTTGAAATAAAATCAGTGCACCAAAACACATGATCACTGGACAAAGCTGATTTTCTTGTTTCTTGTTAAATTCTCTAGGAAGCCAACATATTTTCACTACCACCTATTACCTATAGCTTGTCCCATTTCCTCCTTCCATTCGTGGAAAGCACTAGTCTACTTTTTGATGCTATTGATTTGTCTACTCAGAATATATCCCATGAATGAGTCTATATGATTTCTGATACTTTCTGTCTGGATTATTTCATGTTGGGCAATTTGTTCAAGTTTCACCCATAATGTAGCAGGTATCACCGTGGAAAATAATCTTACAGTCTCCTAGTATATTTGTCTTTTGTGGCATCAAATATCTCTGTTAGCAAAAATAGAAAATGAACCATATTCTACCATTTTCTAGTTACAATTTGTGGAATGGATACAATTTTTAATTGAAAATCTGGTTTTGGAAGAACCACCAGTAAGAATTGGTTTTCTACTTTGCCATTTAAGAGAAAAACAAGGACTGCTGGCTGGGTTTCCACATCTACTATGTGGATGTTGAGTTTCCACATCTACAATTCCATTGCCAGTGACTACTTCACCTTGTGGAACACTCTGCTTTGGCTGTGGAACAGAGAAGTATCTCTCTAAATATGACTGCCAGACACACAGCAAATTTGCTGCTATCACTGCAGAAATCATGGCAGCATTTTCAGCTGGATTGCAACACTTTGGAACTCTACAAATTTCTCCAGTATTTCCATGTTGGCAAAGCTTTGTTGATTTATTCATTGTTTTTCTCAGTAATTACTGTCAGTGTTGAGACAAATTATCATCTCACTGCACTTTTTTTCCTAGAACATAAACTTATATCTGAACAAGTACAATGGCCTGATAAAAATCCCCTCAGGAGTACAAGGCCTCTTTTTTTTTTTTTTTTTTTTTTTTTACTGCTTGGGAACATGCCTCTAAAGGAATGGGGCAAGAGAGAATAATATGGGGATGTCTCATTTAACATAATAAAGTGATACTGTAGTGACTGACACAAAGTTTCAAAAACAATAGAAAGGTAACCATTGTGATCCTCAATTCAAAAGCTAGGTCATACAAACATGGCACATGGTGAGAAAAGAAGTCATGATCAGTTCCTAATAAAGGACCAAAATCTACCTGTTTTTTTTTTTTTGTCTTTTTCCTTTTTATTGGTACCAGGGATCGAACTCACGACTGCCTGCTTTACAAGGCAGGTGCTTATGCCACTGAGCTAAATCCCCAACCCCTCTACCTGTTTTTTTTAACCTGGAAATGTGTACATCACATTTACTCTGCCTATAATGTGTAAAAATCATAACCTGTGCTTCTCTCTTCCTCTTAGACTCCTCAATCAGTGTGTAGTCAGAGCTGTGGTCCGGGATTCAGAAAAATTCCTCAGGAAGGAAGATCAGTCTGTTGCTTTACCTGTGTTTCCTGCTCAGAGAGACACATTTCCAATCAGACAGGTAAATAATGGAGAATGTCACTGTGATAACTGTTCCCTCTAACAACTTCTCAGTGATGGGAAGCTGAGCCTATTGCCCAGGGGATCAGAGTGGAGCACTGTTTCCCACTCATCTACAGATTCATTCTTTCAGTACACCCATTTATAGTTACAGTCACCACGTACATATTCTTGTCCGGCAGTGCTGATTCTATTATCCTAAACTGAAGTGCTGATTTCCATCACCAGCTATGTTTATATCCACTGCTGAGAGAGACTGAGCAAATCTGAAATCTTACAGTGACCCAGGACGAAGGCCTATGAGTCAAAGCATGGGTATTTCTCAAAATTTCCTGTGGATGCTTGAAAGTCTCAAAACCAACTTTTCCCTTACAAATTTCAAGCATACAAATTTTTCCTTTTTTGCTGTATATTTGCAATATCTAACAATAATGTACATTTTAGGGACTTAAATGAATGGATAAAGTGGACAACCTGTTTTAGAACGGTTGCATTACATTGTGTGCCATGTCACGAATTTTGCACATAGTATTATTTTCATCATTAATGTGAACACTGTCAGTTATGTCAAATGGTATACGTAATGCAAGGGGGAACAAAGCTAACTTTCAGCTTTAACATTTGGAAATTTTAAACTTTAAAAATTAAAGCTTTAAAAACACACTGTTCTTAAGTAACAGAATTAAAATACAAATTGCTCTCCAAAGAGTTATAAGCCAGTAAGACAACTAAATTCAAAATGAAAATATTTTCAATTCATTTGTTCAATATTTATATGGAAAAACTGATAAAAAAAGTCACAGAGAAATAAAAATAGAAAATAGAAAATAAAAACAGAAACTGCTATAGATAATTATAAAACTTAGGTTGTCGAGTATGTCTGTGAGAATATTTAAATTTGAGAGCTGTAAGGAATATTACAAGAATCACCATATGAAAATTAAAATATAAGGCCATGAAACCATTGTCCAATCAGACAGGGTGATAGATTAGACAAATGATAAATGGATAACAATATAGCAATTATAATATTCAAGTTGTATCAGGATTACACAAATTTCCATCTGACTAGTAATGAGGGAAATATTTGAAATAGATTGTCTCACTGAATTTTGTGCCAATACAGAGCTTATTTTGAGGAACACTGCAGAGAGTATAAAGAAGCATTGAGAGGAGATCACAATCCTGGTGACCTCACTGAGTCAGAGGATGACATGACTTCTCACCCAATTCTGCTGAATATGGTGGAAACACCAATTGAATCATTTCATATGATATTTAGATAGTTAGAAAAGTTATTTATGCGTCAAGCATATAGAAATACCATTTGGTATACCTCAATCTGTATGTTAACCACTGTGTATTTGGAGTGATATCGCAAATGTAGTGAATTCTATCAACTTGATAAAACTGAAAATTTCTGAAAAAGAAATGCTGAATCTTTGCTTTTTCTCTAGATGCAAAACAATGCACAAGATGTGCAAAGCCTGAATACCCAAACAGAAACAGAGATCACTATCTCCCCAAGGTTATGGACTTCCTATTCTTTGAGAATTCCCTAAGGATGGCTCTGATCCACATAGCTCTGAGTTTTTCTGTCCTCCCAGCTTTGACCTTAGCAGTCTTGTTAAAGCACTGAGACACTCCCATTGTGCAGCTCAATAATCTGGTTCTCAGTACCACCTGCTAATCTTCCTCCTGTGCTTCCCCTGTGCCCTTTCCTTCATTGGCCATCCAACACAGCCACCTGTAACCTCCAGAAAATCACATTCAGATTTGTGTTCACTGTGGCTGTTTCCACTGTCTTGGTCAAAACCATTACTGTGCTGCTTGCATTTAAAATCACTGGTCCAGGCAGAAGAATGAAGCAGTTTCTGGTAACATGGGCATCAAATTCCATCATCCCCATTTGCTCCCTGATCCAACTCACTCTCTGTATCATCTGGATGGGGACAAATCTACGCTGAATTGACATAGACACAAACTCTGAGCATGGCTACATCATCACCATATGCAGAAAGAGATCCCTCACTGCCTTCTACTGTGTCCTGGGATACCTGGACTCCCTGACCTTGTTCATCTTTATGGTGGATTTCATGGTGAAGAACCTACCTGACCCATTCAATGCAGCCAAGTTCCTGACATTCAGCATGCTGGTGTTCTGCAGTATGTGGGTCACTCTCCACCTCATGTAGCACAGCAACAAGAAGATGATGGAGTCCATGGAGGTCTTCTCCATCTTGGCCTCCAGTGCAGGGCTGCTGGGCTGCATCTTCCTTTTTAAGTGCTGTATTATTCTCCTAAGATCTGAGAACAACTCTTTGTCAGGTTTGAAGACCAGGAAACATTAGGGGAATCAGACATTCTAAATATACTAACTGCATTTACTCTCTACCACACTAAAATTTCAGACTTGAAAATCACCTTCATTATTCACTTTGGTATTCCAAATCAAAATGAAATGTGTTTGTCTTAAAATATATCTTAATTCCTAATGTAATCATTGATTCAAATACACCAAACCCTACTGCCTAAAACTACATATAGCAGTGGTTTTGATGGTGAGTGTATTCCTTTCAAGTTATTAATTCTGAAATAATTTCTACATTTTTTCAACTATACAAATTCTCAATATCTGTACTTTGCAAAGTTTTTTAAAATCATGGTTTGTTTTCTGTTTCTTTTGTCTCTTTTAGCTCTAGTATGTATGTCAGATTTGATATTCTTATTAATATCACTATTTACTATACTTGTCCTCAAATATAATGGTTCCTCAAGTTAAATCTTTTACATAATTTTAGTGTGTGTCCACAAACCTCTTTAAGTCCTCCACCTCCTAAATCTAATTTTAACCTGGCCATCAAAAGTGTCAGATCATCGAGTCCCTAAGGCTGCCTAACAATTATTAAGTTGCATGTTGCCAGAAGAAAAACTGACTTCAGAGACACTCTCAAAATTCAACAAAATACCTAGATTTCTTGCTTCATAATGTCAAGATTATGAAAACCAAATACTAAATAATTTTTGTGGGTCACTACTAAAGGGATGTGGCCATTAGACCAAGACATGATCCTAGATTGGAACTTGGAACATAAAACATATAGAAGACAACACTGTGAAAATCAGTTACATAAGAATGTGGATTTTGTGTTAGATAATAGCGTAGGAAAGTGACAGATTTCCCAACTCTGGTAATTACTGCACAAAAATGATCTTTTATTATGAAATGCATACACCAGGTTGTTTTTTGAGAGGGGGCCCTAGTAGATGGTAGTAATATTCACATGATACTCTCAGAAGGCAAAACCAATTAATGGTACACATATGAGAATATAGAACTGTAAAGAAAAAGGGAAAAGTGAGTATTGGATAAATCTGACTCATGGATTGGTGAGTATCTGAGTTTGTATCTGAGTTTCTTCTTTAGAAATCTTACAGAATTCATAATTTCATTCAGAAATGTTATCAATAAATGTAAAGAGGAAATAAACCAGGCTTGATGGTGGTTGCGTGTAATCACGGCATCCAGGAGGCCGAGGCAGGTAGAACCTATGTTTGAGGAGAGCGAGGTACATAGGGAATTGCAGGCCAGCCTGGTCTACAGAGTGAGACCCTTGTCTAAAATGCCAAAAGGGGCTGTGGAGGAAACAAAAAGAACTAAGTATATAAACAGTCTAGCAACAAACTGAAATGAAATGCAGAGTCATTTAGATGCTAAACCACTTTCAAGGTTAGGAAGAACTGTAAAAGATGCCATTTCTCCCTACACAGAATCTAAGTCAGTATAGATGCAATCAGTAGCCACATTCCTCAGTCTCCTTTCCAGGGCACCCATGCATCTGAAGTTGCCCAGACCATGGGTCCCAGACTGGAGGGGTGCAGTTGAAAAGGAGCAAAGCACTCACATGTGAAGCTGTTGAGACTTTCAAGCTCCCAACGCCAAGGATCCTAAACCCTCCCAGCAGCAGTCGTGTGTGCCCAGTATCAGAGCTGAGGCTCCATGGTGAAGGAGGACAGGCTGTGTCTAGCAATCTCTGTGACAAGGGCATGGCTGACAAGGAGAGGAGAGGCCCAGTGTGAGAAAAAAGTGGGGAGCAGGCAGCCATGGGGAAGACTGTTCTCAGGTCCCTTCCGCCTTTCCCTCTGTGCTCACCAAAGCCTCATGTGTCAGGAATTCTATTTCCTTGTGCACCCTTACTCAGCCTTCCAAGTGAAATGGAAGTTATGTGAGACCAGGGAACTTGGTCTCTTTCATTCAATTCTTAGCCACAACACATAAAACAGTGATTACGGAATGACTCGACAATATTTATTAAATGAATAATTCTGGCACACACACACACACACACACACACACACACACACACACTGCACCTGGAGAATCATAGGAGAAAGTCACAATTTATACCTGGGCACAAGACTGAGAAACAGAATTAGGAATGAGGCTATTTTACTGCTGTGTACTGCTGATTCTTCCCTACATATTTATGTATTGCCCAGGGCATCTCCTCCAAAACAATCTCAATGTAAAACATAATTGGATGCTTCCCTACTGGATCCAGGAAAAAAGTTGTTGAGATGTCTAAATGATCCATTTTTGAAAGCAATTAAGAAGACTAAAAATGCACACACATACAGAGCCCTAAAAGCCTCCATCTTGTTCTAACAGACTGGGTGAATGAGGACTGATACAAAGTTTAGGGATTATTTCCATCATGCTATCTGATCAATCTTGGGTAGGTATGGCCAATTTCCACAATATCAACCACTAAGCCTCTGAATTCAACCCCGTCCCAGGCCCACCATGCTGACCACATTTACTACACATTAACCCAGAAAACCTGGTATCTGCCTACAGGGTGGTCCCAACCCACCCTTGGCTATGCCTCAGTCCATGCTCCCTGCCCAACACCCAGAACTATTCCTGCCCACACCTCAGTTCCTGCCTGCTAACTGTTCCCTACTCTGTCAACCACTTCCCACAAATCCATTGCTGGCCTGGCCCTTGTGCTCTTCTCCCTGGTTACCCAGCGAAGGACTCTTCTTAAACTCCCAAAGTTTTTGGGAATTTCTCGTCCCCTGAGAATGCATGCTCAACCTGGAAGTGTAAGTGTATATCCTGTCATGGTGCTGCAAACATAGGTACGCATATATTGCTATGGCATGATGCTTTCAATTATTCTGGGAAAATGCACCGAAGTGGAATAGCTGGATTGAGTGGGATCTCTTGTCCTACTTTTTTGATGAATCTCCACACTACTTGTATCAGTCTATACTCCCACCAACAGTGGAGAAGGGTTCCTTTTTCCCCACAGCCCTCCAGCATTTGTTATTAGTTGATTTCTTATGGCAGCCATTCTTTCTGGAATGAGATGGGATTTTAATGTACTTTTAATTTGCATTTCCTGAGTGCCCAGTGATGATGAATATGTTTTCATGTATTTATTTGCCATTTGTATTACTTCATCTGGGCAGTGATTGTATATCTCTGATACCCATTTTTGGATTGGGTCTTTGAATATGGTAGCTTGATGTTTCTACATTCTTTATGTTCTATTTAGAAGTCCATTGTCTGAGGGACTGCTGGCTAAAATTGTTTTCCACTCTGAGGATTTTCTTTTCACTTTGCTGGTGATTTTCTTGAAGTTTGAAATCTTTAATGAGATCCCAGTTGTTGATTCTTTGAAGTACTTCTTGTGCAGTTTGTGTTTTGCTCATGAACACTTTGCCTATTTCTATGTCTTCAGGGTTTCTACCTACCTTGTCATCCAGATTCTATTGTAATGTTTAATTTTTTATAGATTTTGACTTTAATTTAGTACATGGTGACAGACATAGCTCTAATTTTAGTCTTCAGCATGTAGAGAGCCAATTGTTCCAGCACCATTTATTAAGAAGGCTTTCTTCCAGTGAATATGTTTCACACTTTTGTCAAATATAAGGTGGCTGAGATTGTTTGTAGTTGTGTCAGCATCTTCTGTGGTGTTCCATTTATCCTCATGTCTATTTGGGTTTTTTTGTTTATTTGTTTGTTTCTTTGTCAGTGTCATGCTTATGTTATTATAGCAGCTTTGTAGTACAATTTCAGGCTGGGACTGTGATGTCTCCTTCTTTACCTTTATTGCCCAGGACTACCTTTGTTATTTTAGGTTTCTTCTGTTGCCAAATTAATTTAGATATGGTGTTTATAGATCTGTGAACTAGGCTAATTGTACTTTGATTGGGATTGCATTAAATCTGTATAACAGTTTTGGGAGTATGGCCATTTTAACTATGTAGTTCTTCCTATCAAAAAGTAAAGGATAGTTTTCCTATTTCTGGTATTTGCTTCAATATCCCTTTTTAGAGTGCTATCATTTTCATTGTATTGATCCTTTACATCTTTTGATAGTTTGATTCCTAAGTATTTCATCTTTTTGGATGCTTCTGTGAAAGGTGTTGTTTCCATTATATCTTGCTCAGTCAGTTTGTTGTTTGTGTACAGGAATGCTCTTGAGTTTTGAATTGTTATATTCAGCTATGTTGCAGAATTTTCTCATTAGCTGTAATAGTATTTTGATGGAGTTTTGGAGATCTTCTATGTAGCTTAGCATATCATCTGCATATAATGATAATTTGACTTATTAATTTGATATTCTTATTCCTTTTTTTCTCTCTTTTGCCTAATTGCTATGGCTAACATTTTTTGAACCATATTCAATAGGTATGGTCATATTGGAGATCTTTGTCTTTTTCTTGACTTCAGAGTGAGACCTTTCAGTTTTTGTCTATTTAGAATAATGTTGTCTCTTGGTTTGTCATAAGTGGCTTTTAGCTGAATGAGGCGAAGTCAATCTATTCCAATATTCTGTAGGATTTTTCTTATGAATAAGAGTTGCACTTTATCAAAAGCTTTTTCTGCACCTATTGAAATGATCATGTGATTTTTATCTTTGATTCTGTTGATATTGTGTATCACATTTATAGATTTGCATATGTGGAACCAGCTCTGCATTCCTGGGATGAATCCCACTTGGTCATGTTGTTTAACCTTGATGATCTGCTGCATTCTGCTCACTAGTACTGAGAAGTTTTGCAACAATGTTCATTAGGAAGATTTGCCTATAGTTTACATTTTGGTTTAGTCTTTCCTTGGATTTCACATCAGAGTAATACTTGCTTCCACAAATGAGTTAGACATAAATGCTTCCCTTTCCATTTCATCAAAAAATTTTAAGAGTATTTTCATTGAATCTTTTCTACGTTTCTTATAGAATTCAGCTATGGGTCCATTGGGATCTGAGCTTTTCTTTTTTTGGTAAATTTTA